GATGGTCCTGGCAACATCAGCATCCTTTGAAAGCTTGGTTGAAATGCAGAGTCCTAGGTTCTACCCCAGAGGCACCAAGGCAGAGCTGCATCTTCCCAAGATCGTGGAAAGATCTTGGCTCATAGGTAGTTGGAAGTTCACACAGCCTGAAGGGCCCATGGTGAGGCCTCTGCTATTGGCTTTGAGCAGCGAGCGAGGTGGGATACCAATGGAGACCTCGAGCACTGGAGGAACATGACCTGAGGATCCCCCAGCTGGTGTGAAGAGAATAAGCTGAAAGGGAAGAAGAGCGGACACTGGGAGCCAGTTAGAAGTCTGTCACTTGGTGAAAGGTGGCAACCTACATGTAGAGGAGGTGGTAAGGAGCGATGAAGTTTGGATATGTTTGAAGGTAAGATTGGCAGGACCTGCTGATGGATTGGGGGGGGGGTGTGTGAGGTGAAGAGAAGACTTGGGGGTGACCCAGGGTCTCAGGCCAAGCACTCACTGTGCGCCAGCCACCGTGCTTTTACTTCCATTGCTGCTTCTAATCCTTGCAAAGGCCTTCAGAGATCCACTATTGAGACTCCCAGGGCCAAGTCACAAGCCCAGGTGTGCTGCCTCCAATGACCAAGTTCCTCCCCCAGCTCACATCCCCCACGGCCACCCTTCCCCAGGCACCATGCTGGAGGGATGAAGGCTTACAGCTGGACGGGCTTCACAGTAGGTCACCTGTGTGGCCTTGGGCGAGTTACCTATCTTCTGGGAGCTCGGCTTCTCATCCATAAAATGGGTCTATTAATACTTTATAGGATGGCAACGTGAGCAAGGTACCAAATCTCAAATAATGGGCCAAGGCTGTTCATCTGTCTCCAAGCCCCTCTGGGGCTTTGGGCCGACTGTATTGGGTTTCTTAAAAGGCTTATGCCTCGCACAGATATACACACACCTGTGTGCAAAGAACACAAGGAAGAGGAAGAGACGCCAAAGGTCAGAAACAGAGCTGCACAAATTGAAAACATGACCAAGAAGAAGAGAAGGTGGCCCCTGAGCAAGAGAGCAAAGAGGAGACTCAGGACATGGACACACAGCCAGCCAGGAAGATAGGAGTGGAATGACACAGCCAGAGGGGCAAGCACCTCCCAGCGAAAGGTGCTAGTGGCTTCAGGCTTAGCAAGGCCCTTCGCCAGTGGCTGTGGCTTTTTGGACTCCCTGGAGTTCCCAGGGGACCTCAGTGCTTGTCCTCTTTGCATTTTGCAACTCTGATTCTCCTAGCAACCAGGTAAAGATGGGCTATTGTGCAGCTTCATAAGGTGTCACAGCTGTCCTGGGGCTCTGTGTGGACTATGGCGCATGGCACCCAGATGAGGGGATGGGTTTGTGAACTCCCTGAAGCACCCCCTCAGGGATTGACCGCAGGATGCAGGTGCACCTCCCCCTCAGGCTCTGCCTAAGATCCCACCCAGCACCTGAGATGGGTGTGACTTGCAAAGACGTCCATCAATCTGCTGACCACAAGACATCAGGATGCAAGACTCTGCCCTTGAAACCGTGTCCCTGCCTTTGATGTCCCTTAGACAATGAACTCACAGTCCCTCTTTCCAGCATGAAAGTTTGACCCTTAAGGTCAAGAGCCGTCCTGCTCCACTTTCTGGATACTACTTTCTGTGTTGTGTGATTTTTCACCGCCGCCTTCTTAGCTTAATGTCGCAACCAGCCCGTTTAAACCCAGTTTGTCTGGTCTGCACGGGTCGTGGTCCAAAACAAGGCTTTGGGGTTTTGTTTGGTTTTTGGAGTTGTTTTGGGGTTTTTATTATTTTACTCCCAACCAAGATACTCTAAATGACTGTCTGCACAAATATTCAATTGCTTACTTTAGCCACATCAAGACCCATTCACTGGCAGGTTGGAGACTGAGATTCTCAAGGGAAAGGGTGAATCATCCCTTCACCTGGGGGTCTCCCTCTCACAGTCATGAATTTCCCACAGAAATGCAAGGACAGATGTTGAAGCTAAAATTGAACACAGGTGCATTGGAGCTGTGCTGAGAAGACAAGGAAATGAGGAGTGTGACGTTCTCCGCTCTCCAGAGTGAATGTCGAGCCGACTGCATTCCCTGCTGATGGAAAGACAGTGTCACTGTCACCATTGAAGGACAGAAATGTCAGGCAGGAAAGGTACAGGGAAGAACTCTCAGCTCTAGGCTACCCCATTCCCCCACCCCATTATCACTGGTCCCTCTAAAACCTGCCCAAGTGAATGGAGACAGACATGCTCTGGGGTGGAGGCTGACCTTCGGGTATTGGTCACCCTGGCTTCAAAGTGAATTCACTGGGAAAACGGCCACTAATGCAGAGTAGGGTTTCCTCTCAGGAAAATCACTCCACACATCTTTGCTAATTTTAGGTTTTCCCTTTCCAGTAACCACTTCTTGCCCTAGGGGTTTTTATTTTTCAAGCAGATCAGCATTAATTTCCCAAGGAACACTGTAATCATAAGAAATGCTAAAAAGTGGAGTGTTCTGATGACATCTGGCCTCGTTCCTTCTCCTGAACATCGTCTTATGAAAATGTCCAACAGCCAAGAACCAAATTGAATAGAAGCTGGTCTCCTTGTTACAACACCGGTGTTCATTACCAAGTGCCTTTCTCACCTAGGCATGAGGCCCCCGTGTCGGACAGATGACTGCTTTGTAAACTATAATATTTATATTAGAACGTAATTGTTGAGTTCTTATGTCAAGACCTACAGAGGGTCTGAGATTTTCCCCCATCTTTGAGCCACCAGGTTTCACTTTGCTGGCACAAGACACGAGGCTCCTGGATCTGAGATGAAAAACTTCCACACAACACCCTCACATCACAGAGTGTCAGCATATTTGTGCCAGTGTCTGGCCACAAATCCCACAGCATGACAGGACACGACAGACCTTGATGGGTACTGCCCACGCAGACACAGATGGGGGCGCACAGTAGCTGAAGGACTCAGGGTCAAGGGCCAGCACTTTGGAGTGAACAGCAAACATGGTAGGAAGCAGCAAACAAACTGTTCTGCCTCCTGCCCCAGAGGAGTCACACTGTGGGCATCTTGACCTACTTAGATGTCGGTGTGACTAGCTTGGACGCTGCTCAGCATCAGATGGGTGAACCCTGCAGTCCAGCACCCGCAGCCAGAGCATGTAGGGAGGCTCAGTGTCCACACATTTGCCCTGCCAACATCTTCATTCATCCCCGTGTTCTCTTCTCCAATCATGCCATTGTAAGAGACCTTTTCTTATAATGTCCAAGTTACTTCACAGGCAACTAAAAATCTGGCCTGATAACCATATCTCCCAGGCAACACATCTCTCTTATAAAAAAAAAAAAAAAAAAAAAAACTTCTCGGAAGAGAAAATTCAATTAAATATAAAATCAAGGCTTTTCCAGCATTCTCATGTGTTTGGTTTAAGCTGACTTCAGTTACAGAGTCACTGAAGCCAAGAAAGGTACTTGTTTGGGGGAGGGATCTCTATGCTCTGTTGTTCTATGTGGCTCTTGAAGCTGATGACTAACAAATGCGTTGGGTGGTGTGTTGGGGTAGCTCTCAACAACAAATGCTCCTAAAAATGTCATTGAACATTCTTCCTTTAAGCACTGGTGGATCTCGGGCCACTTGGAGGTGCACAGTATGGGTGTCTGTGATACAGGGTAGCAGTTCCCTATGGAACTTTTATTTTCTGTTGATGCTTTGGCATCTGGGGACTTGCAGACCCTAGAAGTACCTCCCTTCCCAGAGGTAGCCAAGTCCTAGAGAGAGCAACAAAAACTCTTCCAGGAACTTTTTTTTTTTTCAAATGAAAACTAATTCTAGGATCTCACCCCAACTGCCTGCTCTATTGGGTTTTCACTTTCAGGGCTACCATCTGCCTGTCCTAATTAACCCAGGACCCGATATTAGAAAACTACAGACAGTCCCTGTGCTCCAGGGCCCACCGTGTTCACACAAGCCAATCCTAAGCCCACTTGGCTTGCCTTGCTTGGTCCTCTCTTGGAAACCACGATGAAAACTCTTGCTCGCAGCTCCTCCGTTTCCCTCTGCCTCTGAATGATCCAATGCGACGACCTCAGGACTGCTCCTGGGGGTCCACAACACATAGCTTGCCCCTTCCTGTTGGGAACCGTGAACTGCAACTGTCTTCTCAATAGCAGTCATTCCTGATCTGTGGCCTTTCTTTTTTCTTTCCATTTTCCCATTAACACAGGCAATAGCATGTCTACTGAGGAGAGGTCTTTGGGTGAGAGGAGAGAGAATCCAGGTTTGTTGTAGTAGGATCTGCTCTGTCAGTGCAACAGTGTGGTTTTTTTGCTCATTTAATATTGATACTGAGATTCAAACACTGTACCAGCTGCCCACCTGACATCCCTGCTGGGACGTCTCATAGGTATCTCTAATTGCACTGTCCCTAACTGAACCCTAGAGCTCTCCTCCTCAGAGGACATGCACTCACGCATGCGCGCACTCACACACACACACACACACACACACCCCACAAACTATTTTTCCCCACCTCCATACACGGCTTCTTCATCCATTAAATGGCTCATTCTAGAAAAATTGCTGTCTTCCTTGATATTCTCTTCCCTTTCAATCCATCACCCAGCCGTTGAGACATCTCTCCATGCTCCCATTTCTCTGCACCTCTACTCACCTCGTTCTAAGCCAGGGCCATTGCTAGCCTGGACTATTTCAAGAGCCTCCTCATCCGTTTCTCCAGATGATAACCCAAAACACCTTTTTAGACATTATAAATCACACACCCTGTCTCCCTTGCTTCAGTTCTCCTTGGAACAGAATCCATAACCCTTTCTGTGGGAGATCTGGTCCCTTCACCTCTTCCATCAACCCTCACCCCTTACCCTTGGCTCCGTACCCTCCAGCCACCCCGTGTTTCTGAGCTCCCTTCCTGCCTTTCTCCACACACTTGGCCCATGTGGTAGACATTACTAGAACTCACCCAGACCCCTGATTCTTTTTTATTCCAGGTTCACGTCTCCCTTGGAATTAGGCCTGGTGTGAGGTGTGCGTTGGTTGGAGAAATGTCAGTGGAAGGGACGCGTGTCACCTCCCAGCGGAGGCATCTAAGAGCCGCCTGCATTTCTCCACACTCTGTTCCCTGCTGTCGTGCTGCTGGAAGACAAGTTAACATGGACGTGCTGCGAGATCAAAGCCTCCTGGAATGCTGAGCCGCATATGGAGGGCAGCTGCCGGGAGGAATTTCCCAGACCCTCAGCCCACTAATGTGCACGAGAAGTAAAAGATGTTTTTTTTTTTTTTTTTCATGTTGAGCCACTGAGACTTGGGGGTCGGCTGTTACTATCTGTTGTGACTAACCCAGCCTGGCTGACAGATTCTCATTCTTCCAGAAAAGTACCCATCCCTGTCTCAGCCTTACAGGGCCACAGACACACACCATGACATGCACATCCACAAACCCACTTACACACAACCAAACCACAGACACGTCTCTGAATTCAGCCTCCTTGTTATTCTTTAGTGTTCTTTGTCCTATCCTTCATAGCCCTTCTATACTGCAATCTATAATTATATGTTTATTTTATATGTATTTGTTCATTATGTGCTTTGCCCAGTAGGCTGTAAGCACCACCTGAATAGGGACCATGTCTGACTCATATGCCAGAGAGCCCCACTAAGCCCAGGCACAGAGCTGGTTGCATCACAGCAACTTATACAGTACTCCTTGAAAGAAAGAAAGAAAGAAAGAGAGAGAGAAAGAGAGAAAGAGAGAAAGAGAGAAAGAGAGAGAGAAAGAACAAATGAACAGGCACTGGGAGTCAAGGGGTGCTACCTTTGGTGGCCAAAGCAGGGACACGGGGTGAGGCTGGGACTGAGCTGGGGGAAAGGCCACGAGAGATTGGAAGTGCAGAAAGCCTGGTGTTCCTCCTCCCACCGCGTGAGGTACCCCCATCTGACGTCCACTTTCTGCCTTTTCTTCTCAATTCCAGTAGCAATTCCTCGTGTGTTGGATAAAGGGCCTGGGGGCGGGGCATGCTGCAAGAAGTCACGAGTGATGGGTCTGTCCCCCATTCTGGTTGACCCTGAACAGAGACCTAGGGACATCTGCAGATGCCAAGAGGAAAATGAGAATTCAAAAGAGCGAGGGGAAGATGGGGATGTGTAAAAGGGGCAGGGCCATCCTCGGGGCCTTTCCCTGACTCTTTCCTTGTCTCCACATCCAGAATTGTTCCCTGTGGAGGAAAAGGGAGCAGGAGAAAGAAAAGAGCCTCAGGGAAAGAGCTTACTGTTCATTTCTTCACCACGTGCCCCTCCAGCCGGCCTGTGCCGCATGCCCTCCATGGTGCGAGTGCTGGGGAGACCATGGACACCAAAAGCACCCCCTGTCTTTGCCCCAGGGAGGTCTTGTGGCTGCTGGTCATCTGTGTTGTGTGGGGAGGGCTTCCTGAGGCACCTCCCCTGGTGCCTGTGTGGAGGGGGTCCTGGCTGCCCTGCAGGAGGAAATTTGGAATAGTGACTCTGGTTCCTCCAGTGCTAATTCCACGAGGTAACATGGCATTGCACCACTTTTTATCTTTTCCAACAGGACATGTAAAGGGCAGGGGTGGAGTTAGTACATGAGTGGAAAATCCGAGTTAAGTCCCCTTCCTTTCCCTTTTTGTCTTTGCAGGGCTTTGTCTTCTGTGTGCCTGGTACATGCTGCTCAGCAACATTCACATGGGCCCGTGAGCCAAGCGTGTCGGGAGCTGCTAGCTCCATTTTTGGCCCAATTTTTGGATTTAAATGCAGGTACCATCTTCAAGGACCTTCCAGAAGAAGATTAAAAAGAAAATACATCAGAAACACCACGTACATCCCCCGTGGCAGCTCTGGTGATCATGCTCTTATTCAGAGATACACGTTGTTTTGGAGATGGGAAAAGGCTGAGCTGGAAAGAAACTGGGTTCATATTGGAATTCACTGTCTACATAAATGTTTATGAAAGTTTAATTCTGCAAGCCAAGCTCGAAGCATATTGTCTACTACTAACAATCGTACTCTAAAGTTTCATAAGATTCTGAAAATTGGGTTTTTTTCTGCCTTCCCCACAACAACCCAGCTCCAAGAGAAGAACATGGCTACCGGGGGGATTGGGTGGGGAGGGAAGCTGGCTTCTGCAACTGGAGAATGAACGAAAACAGCTTGGAGGAGGAGCCCAGACTCACAAGGGAGAGTGAGATAAACATCCAGCAGCGTCTTGGCAGCGAGGAGTACAGGACATCTGCTCCGGGGATGTTGACACTTATCTAAGGGCTGGGCAGGAACCAGCAAAGTCCAACCTGCAGGAACCTAACTGGTCTTAACCTGGGCTTTTGAGATCAAAAGCATGGCTCGTGCCACATCAAAGGTACCACCATGTTCAGCCCAGAAGCTCCTGCTGTAGTACTGTGGCCATCGATAGCTTTGTTCCCAGAACTCTTTGGCAGAGTTGGCATCCTTCACCGAGGTGCTGAAAGCTCAGGAAAGCCCCCTGCATGTGACCCTCTGAAGAATGTTCACTTTCTGAGACAGCTTACCTCCCACCAATTAGGATGCAAGGATTTATAGCATACCTTCCCAGAGAGGTTCAGAAACCTTGGAGATACTGACTCAGTTTCTAGCACAGTCAGCTAGGTGATGATAGAGAACAACCTACAAGAGAAGTTACGCTTTTCTCTCCAGCTGCTAGAACCATGGTCAATGCAAAATGTAAAATGCTGGATTCTGCTAACTTTTGGAAGGGAGCAAGGAAAAAATGGACACATATCTAATCCTTTGTACTTGCCTTTCCCCCTACCCTACTCCAGAGGGGAAAAGCCTTCTGCCACATCAAAATCAACTCCTTAATTGAGTTAATACCTGCACTATGGGGGCCTAGATTGGGTGCTGGGTGAGATACAAAGTTGCATTGGCTATGGGTACGACCTCAAGAAGCCAAAGTCCAGTGGGCCAGACAGACTGGGGACATAATCATTACCAATACCAGGCAGAAGTGATAGTTAAAACACTAACTAAGGTAATTTAGAGGAAAGAAAGATTTATAGATAAGACAACAGTTAAATATGAATCTCAGATAATACTGCATAACTTTTTAGTATGTCACAAATATTACTTGAGATACCAGTCCCAAGGGGGGGCTGGTTCCAGGACTCCCCAAGGATACCAAAATCTGTGGGTGCTCAAATCCTTTGTATAAAATGGTGTAACATCTGCATAGATCCTACACTCATCTTTCCGTATACTTCAAATGATCTCTGGATTACTTATACTACTAGAATATAAATGCAATGCAAATAATTACTGCATTGTGTAGGGAATAATGACAAGAAAAAAAAATCTATACATGTTCAGTACAGAGACAACCATCACCAACCCAGCCACCTTCTCAACATTTGTAGTTAGGTGACTCCTAGGATACAGAATGCATGGTTGCCGTGGGCCAACTGTATTTATACTAAAAAGTCTACATTGTTTATGTGATATTCAAATGTAACAGGGTGTCCTGGGTTTGTAATGTGCTAAGTCAGTTCACCCTATCTATAGAGGGCTTTATGGTATAAATAATATTTCATCTGTTTTAAAAAGACAAGTGAGACAGAGGCAGAAAAACCATGGTTGCCACACACTCAGGATGTTCCGGATCTGCTGCAGAGACCTGCCTCTATATGCTCACAAAGAAAATCCTTTGCAGATTTACAAAAGGACCAGAAATTTGATTTCTTCATGGCCTGCAAGGAGCTGGGAGGCGGGTCCCGGCAGCAGTAGGGATGTGCTGGGTTATGCTGGGATAACAAGCCATCCCCAGGGTCGGCAGTTCACCGTCCTCACTCCAGATCTGGACTGATGAAAAGGCAAAAGAGACATGAAGAGGAGGCCACCACCTAGGACATTCCCAGTTACCATGGCAAACGAAAAGAATGCTGCCAATCAAGGCACAGGTTTTTCAAGTGCACACTCAGAAGTGACACCAAAACATGCCCAAGTTCAACAAAACCACAAAATGCAATTCTGCCCCATGCCTGGGAGCACAAAAACACACCAATCTTTGGTGACAACATGATAGCCTACTTCACTCAGCTCTCACTTCCATTGAACCAACAACCTGTCTTCAAAACACCAGGGAACCCCCAGCACCAGGGATTCCCCAATGTCAGGAGCTCGCAATGCTAAGGGCTTCCCAATGCCAGGGGCCTCCAGTGAGAGGGATCCCCAGTACCACCCCCACCCCAGCCAGAGATCCCTAGATGCTAGGGGATCCTTAGTGCCAGGATCCCTCAATAACAGGGACCCAAGTGCCAGTTTCCTAATGCCAAGAGTTTCTCCATGTCAGGATCCCAATGCTATACCCCCAGTGTCAGGGTCCCCAATGCAAAGGACACCTTCTCCCTGTGTGCTCTAGGTGCTCTGGAAGAGGCCTCTAGTTCAAGGCCATTTCATCCAGGCACAGGGAGCAACTGGGTCTACTCTTGTGCCTTTTCCAACAACACCCATCCTCCTGGGAGGATAAGAAAATCAGTAGTGGCGAGAACACACGGATGGAGGCGCCTGGGGATTTGGGCACCATAGGCAGCCCTCAGCCCCAGCAGCTCACACTGGGGGCAACTCAGTGTCCAGCTCTGCTGAGGACAGTGCTGCCAGTCTCCTCCAGCCAGAGCCTCAGGGGGCAGGCCCAAGACGGACCCAGAGGGTCTCTGGCACCAAAAAGCAGGCAGCGTTGGAAAACCAGCATGGGAAGGAAATGGACACACACACACACATACACATACACATACACACACACACACACACATCCCTGGGCCTCCCAGAGCCTCCCAGGGCCACCCAGACCCTTGCAGCTTGGTGAGGCCTGTTTCTGGAGGAGGCATGACTAATGTTATTGCAAAGTGCCCTGGCTGCGCGCCAGCAGCGCTGTCACCCCTTGGCTGAGCTGCCTGCCGTCAGGTGTGGGCGGGAGACAAAGCGGCCTTCTGTGAGCCTGGGGACAGGGATGCGGGCAGTGGGACAATGGTGTCGGGGAGTCTGGGGGTGGGGGTGGGGGACCGGCGGATGAAAAGGGAACTTGGATCGGAGCTCTGGCTGCCAAGGATCACTGGCACCTAGCAACAGGAGAGGCAGAACCATGAGCGGCCAGGCTAGGTGGAACAAAGGACCAAAGTGTCAGGGCAGCCCTCCAGCAAACCCTCCACCCACCAGGGAACCGGCTTACTAGCAAAGGTTCCAGGTGTGATGCGGTCACCCAGAGTCACAGTCACCCAGAGGCCCAGTGGGAAGCTTCCCTGGGTGCTAGGCTCTGCAACACTCACTGCATCTACATCCTACTCAGGAACGTCACCCTCACTGTGACCCCCCCCCCAGGCAGGAATGAAACAGGCTCCGAGAGGTAAGTGATCTCCAGAGGTCACACAGCTGAGGCTGAGGTTCACCTCCAAGTCTGTCGCAGCCCTAAACAAAATCTGTCCCCATAACCAATAGCTGTGCCCAATAGCACTAAAATAAATGCCATTTCCCTTCCCCTAGAGAAGGACCAGGATTGCCATGAACTCCTTTTTGGTGCAAAATTCAAAGAAGTGCCAGAAAACAGATACATAATGTTCAGATGTAAATCGAAATCCATGCATTATACCCTGGATGAGGAAACTATCAAAATTGTAAATCAAGGACCTAGCCCTGTATCTGGAGAACCCAGGGGTGAGTCCTCCTTCAACTCACCCCACCCCAGATGGGCCCTGCCCTAGAAGGCACCTCTCCTAAGCTGCTTGGTGCACTCTGGCCTGGCCCCTTCACAGCCGCAAAACATCTTCATTCCAACAGACGCAGCAGCACCTGACCCAGCCTCCCGCCAGAATACAGCAAATCCTGAGGCAGGCTCACACTGCTCCACCCCATTGCCACTGCACTTGAGGGAATCAGGGCTTTGGCCTCCCCGTTTCCCCCTCCATGCTACTCTCTTCCTCCAGTTCGCTAATAGCTTCTCACCAGTTTGCTCATAGCTGCTTCTCAAAAAGTCAAGCGATGAAGATTTCAGGTTTGTCTCTCAGGGTTCCTGGCCCCACCTTGTGCCCAGGGAATCTCAAGGCAGCAGCCTGGATCACATCCATTAAACAGAATCTTTGGGGGTGAACCCAGGTAGCAGTGTCCTTGAAGGCTCTCCTGGTGATTCCCAAGAGCAGCCAAGGTGGAAAGCCAGAGATGGAAGAAATTACAATAGCCCCCTTTATCCTGGGGGAACATGTTCTAAGACCCCCCCCATTGGAGGCCTGAAACCATAGAGAGCACCAAACACTATGTAAATGATTTTTTTTCCCTACACAGACATGCGCTAAAGATTAATTTATCAATTAGGTAGAGTAGGATATTAACAATCACACAATAAAATGGATCAATTTTAACAATGTACTGTGATAAAAATTACATGACTGTGTACTCTAGCTCCTCTCTCTCTCCCACTGCCTTCTCAAAATATATAATTTCCCATTTAAATTGTGGTTGACCGTGGGTAGCTGAAACCACAAGGATTCGGACTCCTGGACCCATTCATGTGTGGGGGAGTGAGTGTCATCTCATAGAAGGTTCTCAAAAGTGAAAAAACCCTTTAAGACCCAGTTCTGAACTCAATCATGGGCTTCAGGCTTCCGTGGGTCAGTGGACCCTTCCTGACATCGCTCATCTTCACAGGCAGGCAGGATTTTCCTCAGAATAGCAACTGTAGTTTATATGTCAATTATCTGTCATCAATAGGAGGCCGTGACATTGAAGGAGATAGAATGGTAGCAGCTCCCAAACCTTATTTCATTCAATGGTTTTAACTCCTCAGACAAGGATCAAAGTTAGCACTTGTAACTGTACGCTGACTCCAGAAAACTATTTGCTGAGTAGATGAATGAAGAATGAGTAGTTGCTTATCTTCTTTATTCAACCCTTTGTGTGGCCTTGAACTGTACCTCATTTACAGGATGGGGAGGTACTGGCTATTGGTCCTCCACCCCAGGGCTGAGAAGCTTGCCTGTTTGGACCATGTCAAGGGCTTCTGCCCCTCTGGCCTCTGGTGGTGTGTGGCCTGTGGGAACCCTAGCAGATCCAAGAGTGACCTCAGCCTGCTTCTCCCCAGGTACCCTCCCTGGGTTGTTGCCTCAGCCTGTGTCCTGTATCTAGAGATCAGTGTTCTTCCGGATGGTCTCCTCTGTTTGACTCTGTCCTCCCTCCCTGTCCTTGACCTAGGGATGTGAAGAGGTTAGCTGCTACTGACCCAGGACACTGCACTTGCTACCTCGTGCTTTTCCTGCAGCCTGCCCGCAACTCTGTGAATAAGTGCTCAGTGAATTTTGCTAGTATAAGTGTCCATTTGTCGGGATCATGACTGGCAGGTGGGGGGGGGGGGTGAGGGCCCATCACTACAAGATGATCAGCTATTAAAATAAAAAGACTCAAGGCAATTCCCACTCCCCCTTCAATGAAGTTACTTGTTAGAAAATAAGACATCTCTGAGTGTGAGCAGATCCAAGCACACCGGAGCTCTGGTTGAGGAGGTGCTAAGGAAATCGCGCTGAGCTTGCCGGCCGAGCCCAGTGGAGGGCCTCCAACAACTCCATGTCCCAGACTGAGAAAATGACTGATAGGATCTGACTGTGTAAATGTCTCCAGGGACCCTGGGGCTGGGGACTGACACCCCTAGAGTGTGTGGCAGCTATGCAGACGCGTGCATCCTTTGATTCTCTCTTCAATAGCACCTACTGCAGGGAACATTGTTGACCAACAGCTTCCAGCTGCCACACCTTGGATCCTCCTGGCCTTTGTGCGGCACCACCCCCAGAGCTGGGCCACCCATCTAGCCTGGTCACCATTTATTCAGAACTGTGCTGCAGGCTGAGCCCCTACCCAATCCTTCCTGTCCTCTCTCCTGTCTCAGGAGTCACGCTGCCAGTACTGTCTGAAGGCTCCTCCTGCCAGATCCTCCTCTCCCTCTTTAACCTTCATAAGCCTCTCCCCCAATACATATCATTTGTCTCACCTCACCTGCCTTTGGCTTCTCAAGAGAATGCAAACTGGCCCGGGTGGCCCCAATGGTACCAGGGAAAGAGATACTAAGATATTGGACACGGGCTCACTTACTGCCAAGTCGATGATCCCCAACTGCAGTGGTGTATAGGGCTAGAGAGACCTGACTCAAAATGACAGTCCAACTGCAGAAGCTCTCATAAGGCTTCAACCAGTAAAAA